AATACAATGGGCGTTTTATTAAGGACAGGAGCGTGCTTTTGCGCCTCTGAATTTCCTGGGGGAATCTCCTTTCGACAATTAACTCTGGTAATTGAGAGTCAAGCTGCAATTAACAAATAGATACCTAATGAAGTAGCCCCATTAGCCCCATGGTGAATGCATTATCAGTGCACATTTCAGAGCCTCAGCTCCTGGGTTGTGTGCAAAGGGAAGCTCAGCCCTACAAAGAATCAGATGTGTTTTTCCACGTAGGTTTTTCTTTTGGCTTTTTATTCAGAGAATGACTAGGAGATAACAATGAGAAGAAACAAGCGATTGTAGTTATTTCATTTATCCGCTGTGACAGGAGAGACGCGTCTGAATTTGTTGTGCAAAGTGTTGCGGTTAAGGTTTTAAAAAGGGGTAAAAACTCCCCAAAGTCCTCATCGTTCACTGGCGTCGTTTTACTGCACATACAAAGTAAGTTAATTATGTTGTATAAAAGGAAACGAGCTTTTATTGTTGCTTCGTGACAGGTTTCTCGCTGCAGCGACGTCTCTGTGATGGGAACGTTTTCCTCCTGTGCACTAAATACTAGCGTTCATCGGCGCTCTGTGAGCTTCTCGGCTGATCCCACAGGTAAACCTTCTCAGTCCATGTATTGTAACACATTCATAGCTATCACATAGTGTATTTGCTGCAGGGTTTGTTTGTTTTCAAGCGTTTTTGGACAAAGCCCTGAGTGTGCCGAGTGCTTTGTCCAAATGCAGCCATCTGGGTTTGGTCTCTTAAAAAATGTGTTTACTTTCTTTTTTGGTCTGATGCCTTTAATAACATCCTAACGATAACATCGTGTAACAGTCTTGCAGATTGATTTCTGCTTTGGTTTGTTGAGCTCGTTAGGGGATATCAGTAAGTATGACGATCACTGATCAAATGCTCCCAGAATTCTTATTTCATTCAGTCCTTTCAAATGAAAGCTGCTACAAGTACACACAGATGTAAACGCTCATCTGGCCCAACATTAAATCCTGCTGCCGAAACAGTTTTTACCTGTCGGGTTATGAACACAGCACCTCTTCAAGTGTCCCAGTGGGGTTAGGGTTGTTATTCAGGTCTGCATATTATGACCGGGCCTGTGCCACTGCATCCCGTGGGAACGATTGGTATCTCTGGAGTTTCGATGCCATCACTCTGAGTCACATTCCTCTTGCTGTTCCTGGCCAGCTTTTGTGTAATGGTGGGGCCATAAACAGTATAAGTAATGGATGTAGCTTCTGATTCTGAAAAATAAAGCCAATTCTTTCACGGCAGCACTTTGAGACAGTGATCCACGCCTTTGTTAGCACTCGGCTGGATTACTGTAATGTACTTGATTATTGGGGTCAGCGCATCATATATTAGTCATCTACAGAGGGTGCAAAATGCCGCAGCTCGTCTTTTAACTGGCACTCGAAAGTTTGAGCACATTTCCCCTGTTTTAGCTTCACTTCACTGGCTTCCCATTTCTTTTAGGATTCATTTAAAAATTATTTTATTTACTTTTAAAGCTCTCCATGGCCTAGCCCAGGGGTGGGCAATCTCAGTCCATGAGGGCCGGTGTCCCTGCAGGTTTTAGATGTGTCCTCGAACCAACACAGCTGATTTAAATGGCTAAATTAGCTACTCAACATCATGTGATTCAGGTGTGTTGACCCAAGGTGAGATCTAAAACCTCGTGGACTGAGATTGCCCACCCCTGGCCTAGCCCCATCTCATCTCTCTGAGCTGCTACAGCCTTATACACCCACCCGCTCTCTCAGGTCAGCTGATCAGCTGCTCCTG